TCGTATGCCCTGGAAATTTACCAATAGAAATTCTTTGAAGCCTAGAGCTGAATCTCTGTTCTACCAGAGGGGATTTGCTTTTACTTCTGGCAAGCATCTGGAGACACCCCAGCCCAAGTCCATCATATACATGTCTTGACTTGTGGGTTTTTTGGACCATCCACGTAGTGTGTGCATTTAAATTACAGAACTGGACCAATCTGTTACAAATTCTCACTGCAGATTTTTTTTCTTCTTTCACTTGTGTATGCAAAACGGTTATTGAATGATAAAAATCAACACTTGAGATCACCTGGCATTGACAAGTACTTTCAAGAGAAAAGCCAACCTCAGTTGTTATATATACCTTTCTGGAGCTCTGCTTTCACTAACTCTTTGGCCTTGCAGGTTTTCTTACATTCCTGCTCACTCATAGGTTTTGTAAAATATTTAAAAAAAAAATATTCTGGGGTGTTTGGGTGGCTCACTTGGTTAAGCATCTGACTCGTGATTTCAGCTCAGGTCATGAACTCAAGGTCCTAAGCTTGAGCCCCATGTTGGGCTCCGCACTCAGCAGGGAGTCTGCTTGGGATTCTGTCTCTCTTCCTCCCCCCCACCTCCTGTGTGTATGCACACGCTAAATAAATAAATAAAAATATTTTATATCATCTGTTTATTTGCTTTCAATAGAAGGGTTCATCAGGGTGCCAGAAACTGAAGTCCATCTGTTCGGGACAGAGAACTGTATCATGAGATAGGGATCTTTCTTACTGACAGCTTAGGGACGGTATTTTAGTACGGGGAGGGAGGTAATATAGGAGAGATTCCTATTTTAGGAAGAAGGTTGATATGTAGATAACCCTTGGGGTCTCTTTCATTATAAAAGTATATAGTTCTAGCTAAAGTAATCATTTTTTTGTTTCTCTTAGGAATTTACTATTTTGAACAAGACTAATATTATCGAATGACATTTAAATCTGGTTCCTCTAACAGTGGAAGTTGTGAATTATCTGTCACTTGTTAGGAAACATTGAATCTGCACTAGAAGTCGTCTTAATCCACACTGCGGTTTTGAAAGCACGTTCTTAATCTGAAATTGTTGAACAAAATTAGATTGGTTCTTTAGCCCTCCCTCCAGTGTAAACACAAATGGAATTATTTGTGGATGATTGGCATTCGTGGAGAGATATTACACTTTTCATGTAGAAATCTGTTAAGATGCCCCAAGGATTTAAATTTTTTCTGTCAAGGATTTATTTTAAAGTTTCCTCTCCTGTTCTCCATCTGTCCAGCCTTGTCTCATCCTTCCAGATCAACTTCGTCATCTTCAATTTCCTTCTCACTGTGACTGTCAGTGACCAGGATGCCAGATGCTCTAAAAACCTGTTTTTGCCTTTATCAGTCTGCTCTAAAGACCTGTTTCTGCCCTTATCAGTCTCTAGATTGCTTAACAAAAAGTATGTTTGAAAAATAGAGCTATCAGCTTTCCATTGCCTAGGTTAAAACTCTTCAATTCAGCTCTAGAATAATTATTATATCTGCACAAAAATAACTTCCCACTACACAAAGCACTTTGCATAGCACCATCTCTAGACTCAAAGGCAAACAGAGGAACCTACAAATTCATATGAACTATGGGCCTGTTTATGTGCATATTATTCATTTTAATTGGGCTAGAGAAATGTCAGATATGGAAATGGCATTTAATGTTCTGATATTATCGTATATTAATGCTTTGCAGATTCAAATTTAAGGGACTGCACTTAGCAATGAGAATTGCTATCTATCAGTAAGAGAAAGGATTTTGAAAGCCCATGTCTGCTTAGAGCATATCATAACAGATATAGTAAGTTTGTAGAGTGACTTCAAGGTTCTTTCTGTGCACTGTATTTTCTCTCTATGTGTATGGTTCTCTGAATCACCTGTCTAGTGAAAGAACTTTCCTCTCTCAATGTTATATAAGTGGTGGGTGGGCCCACTCCACTGATTGGAGTTCCTTCCTAATAAGGCTGCCCTAATCAGTGGTTGGAACCAATACATGATTCTCTAGTGAGCCAGGCCCCTTAGATTAAAGTAGTGGTTCTCAAAATTTTCAGTTTCAGGACCCTTTAAGAACTCTTCAAGACTACTGAGGTCTCAGTAGCTTACATATTAATTCATTTACAAAGAACAATAATAAATGCTTTATATATTAACATCAAAGCAATGATATTATCACATGACATGTAACATCTGGAAAACCTCACTGTATAATCATGAGAGAATAAGAATGAATAAAATGGGGGCTCCTGGTTGGCTCAGTCGTTAGGCGTCTGCCTTCAGCTCAGGTCATGGTCCCACGGTCCTGGGATCAAGCCCTACACTGGGCATCTTGCTCAGCGGGAAGCCTGCTTCTCCCCCTCCCACTCCCCCTGCTTGTGTTCCTTCTCTCACTTTGTCTCTCTCTGTCAAATAAATAAATAAAATCTTTTAAAAAATAAATGAAAAAAATGACATTTTAGTATTATGAAAAAGATTTTGACCCCAAAGACCCCTGTGAGGGTCTTGAGGGACCATGTGGCTAAAAATTAAATCTAGATAGATAGTAAAAGAGAGAGAAAAAGAGAAAGAGAGAGATAGCCAACTACCCTGGAAACCTGCTTTCCAGATAGCAAGATAGCTACTGGTTTTCCTGTAAGAAGCATTCTTAGAAGTGAAGTCAGAGGCCTTGATTTTAAAACAAAGTTGTATGTATGCCAGGTAGGTAAAGAAGCTCAGTAGGAAATACACTTTTCATGGTCTTAGGACCTTGGCCATAAAAGCAGTTCATCAGCAAACCTTCTAAAACTGGGAGACACCATCCAAGCCAGGCCAGAGGTGCAGAACAGCACTGAATGAATTGTGCTTGCCCCCAAAGACTGGAGGAAGTCTGGGGGGTAAGCAAAACACTGATCCCCTGGAGCCTGCCAGCCCACAGCTCTATCTGATCCAGAGCCACACAGGCAAGTTGGAGGAGGTCAGGATATTCAAGATAATCCTGACATCAAACATAGGGACATAACGTGTGGGGTAGTTCCAATGAACAGGGAATTAATTCTGTTTCAAATGTCAATAAATCATGAGCTAGAAGGCTTATGTAATTCTCTGAGTTAAGTTAAATGCTCTGAGGATATGCCAGAGACATGTAGGAAATCAGTGTCCAGGAATCTGAGTTGGATGTTAAAACCCAAATCTGAAAATGAACTATAAGAAAAAGCTATTAAATATATAGCAGACAAAAGTAGCCAAATTAATAGCATAGTTCAGGGTGACACCATCAAAGTAAAGGAGATATAATTAGCTCATTATAATTCTGTTTCTGACAAGTGATTTGGAAATTGAGAGGGAGTGGTCCTTCCTGCACCCTCTTTTTTTTATACTCAAATCATTTTCAGAAACAATTCTCCCTCCCTAGACTACAGGTTGTGAATATCTTGATATGACCAAATGTTTTTTAAAAGTTAACTCCAATTCCCAGAGATTCAGATAAGCTGGAGTGTTAGTTGACAATTTCCACAGTCCCGGGTTTCAAGGCTAGATATGTAGCAATACCAAATGCTTAGTTTTTCTATTTCCTTGATGGCCCACCAGTGCAGGAGATGGAAAGCCATATTCCTTACTGTTTTGTGCAGCCATATCCTGCTGGTTGTTCCCCACCCCCGGAGCCATTAAGCAGCAAAAACTCATCATCTGTTAGTAGTACTGCTGAATTATTCAGGGAAATCCTTAACCAAAATAAATGGTGACTATTCCATCCAATTTCTCCTCCTCTTCAGTTTCCCATCTCTTTTCCCAACATGGGCAGATCTTCCAGACTTTCAAGCTTATGATCACTGCTAAAACATGCAGGAAAAATTGAATACCCAAATAGTTGTGTTGCACTTTGGCTTAAAGTCAGTACTTAGTTTGGTACTGGGATACTTCCAGTCAAAAAGGAAATGTGGTGGAAATAGGCATGTGTTTAATAAAGCTCATCTAAGCTCTTTTATGATCATCTAAGAAGTATTAGAAGGACTCCTATTAACAATAAGGGTGCCTGGATGGCTCAGTGGTTAAGCGACTGCCTTCGGCTCAGGTCATGATCCCAGGGTCCTGGGATCGAGCCCCACATCGGGCTCCCTGCTGAGCAGGGAGTCTGCTTCTCCCTCTCCCTCTGCCTGCTCCCCCTGCTTGTGCTCTCTCTCTCTCTCTCTCTGTCAAATAAGTAAAATTAAAAAAAAAAAAACCCAATAAGATTGACCTTTTGTTCGTCCTGAGGCTGATGTTTGTGTTCTGTGTCCTTAACAAGCTACCTCCTCCTCTGTGTGGTTTCTCAGTGCTGTTGCTGCATTCACCCAGAAATCTCTCCCTGACTCACTTCGAGGCCTGATAGGTCTCTGCTGCCTGCTCAACCCTTTTTCTCCCTCCCCTCCTCACATTCAGTTTCAGGAATCTCCTACTGCCCCGTCAGCAACTTCTATCCCTCTCAGATCTATCCTCTGTGAACACCAAGAGTAGAAACAAGAAATGGTTAAAAGGGAATGGACCCATGGATGGGGGGAAATAAGTTAATAGGCTGTTGCTTTTCATGATAAATGCTTCCAAACGGTTAAACTTTTTGACTGTATATTTACAATACTTCAGTGAAAGTGAATCATTTCATCATTCTTGATAACTCCAGAGCAGTCTTACAAAGATATTGATATGACCATGTTCTTCCTTTGACGGTGCCTGTTGCCTATATGATACCAGCATAACCACAGTTACATATTCCTGTGCTTCTGCACATGCTGATCCCTCTGCCAGGAATGCAGATTCCTTTGGTAAGGATCTTGATCATTGTGTCAGAATCTTCTTCTCTGGACCTGGGTTTTGCATAGGACCCCATGGCCACGCTGGCTTGGTTTTGACAGGCTGCTGAGTAGTGCTCTGCCCCAGGGTGAGCAGGGATGGGTCTGTCTTTTGTAAACTGAGGTAGTCTTACTAAATCCTTTGGGCTTGCCCTCCCTGTTTCCCACAGCAGTCTGAGCTGTCAGCTGAAGAAAGTCCAGAAAAATTAGGAACCTCCCAACTTCATCATCGAAAAGTCATCTCCTTGAACAAGCAGATTCTGCAGAAGACCAAACATCTGGAAGAGGTTGGTGTTTTCTTTTTATAATTTCATTCAAGTAATATGAAATTTTTCTTCAAGAAGGGAGAAACTGGGGAAGGAGTGAAGATGTTTGTGTTAGAATGGAGGCTCTAAAACAGGGATTAGCATAGTACAGCCCTTGGGCCAATCCAGCTGCCACCTGTTTTTGTAAGTAAGGTTTTATTGGAATACATGGACATCTATTTGTTTACGTACTTTCTGTGGCCGCTTTCAAGCTCCAGGGGCAGAACTAAGTAGTTGCAGCAGAGACCACATGGCCCAGAAAGCCTAAAATATTGACTACTTGGCCCTTTCCAAATGTGGCTCACAAAGCCTAAAATATTTACCATCTGGCCCAAACTGAAAAAATTTGCCAGCCTTGTTCTAGAAGATCACAAGACTTAAGAATAGCATTTATTGACTGACAAATGTTCACTGAGCGCTATTCTGTGCTAGGCATAAAACTAGGCTGTGGAGATGAAGAACTAACTCATTCTTTTCACACAACATCCTTGTGGAGGAGATACTACTCTTATCCTCATTTTATGAATAAGGAAACTTAGAAACAGAGAAGTGAAGTAGTTTTGCCTGTGATCACACAGCTTACTAATGGTAAAGCCAAAATTTTGAATATAAAGATCTACCTCATTGTTTCGAATTGACTTCATAGTGCAACATAGTGTATATGTACTGTAATTTACTGTACCTGTCCCCTGTTCATGGGTATGTAGGTTGTTTCGGGGTTCCCCCCCAACTGCAAATTTATGCTACCATGAACATCTTTGTACAGTCATCTTTGTGCAAATATGTAAGTATCTGTGTAAGATTGATTTTAGAAAGTGGAATTGCTGGGTCAAAAATACAGGCATTTTCTATTTTGCTCGAAACCATCAAATTATTCACCAATCATTTTACCAGTTTTTATGTCTACCAACAGTATATGAGAGACTCCAAACTCTTTAAATCCAAGAACTCCTGTTCCAAGATCATGCAGGTGGAAAGCGAGCAGGATGCACTTGTGGCCTTGGTGACAACCGTGGGGAGAGTCCTAGCCCAACAGAGAAATGGAAGGAGGGGCAAAGCAAGAGAAGGAGTAAAGAGCATCTCATGGTCCGACAGGGGAATGCACTACAGAGGCATAGAACTGGAACGCAGCTAGTAGGTAGCTGAGGAGAAACCTGAGATTGAGGAAGGAAAGAGGAATCCAGAAAGGGGGTGGTAACCCGCTGATGAATTTGGGGGTGAGTCTAGGGGTTAATGATGAAGAAGAAAATGAGGGTAGGACAATCATGAAGGATTCTAGCAAGATGAAAAGTAGGCTAAGCTACTGGGACATCCCCTGTTTGAGAAAAGATAGTCAGATGAGCAGCTGAAGAGAGCTCTTATTAGTTAAATTAATCAAAGGGAAGAGATGAGTCTTCCCTTCTTAGCAAGCTACATTCCTGCCAAGATCCAGCTCACGTGAGTCTTTGTTGTGAAGCCTTCCTTAGACGCCCTGATGAGCCAGACTCTCCTTGGGCCTCCCCTGGGCCTGGCTGTGCCCTAGCTATTCTCATACTCTGATCCCCAGTTCACTGGTCCAGATCCTTGTGGGCAAGGACTGTGTCATGTTCATCACCTCCTCCCACACACCTCATGTGAGCAGAGCATTGGGTAAATGTCAGAGGGGGGACTGGGTGGGTGCATGGGTGAAGGGTGGACAGGAAGGTGGGGAATGCTAGGACCCCTTCCTGGAGCCACAAAAGGGCTTCTTAAAAGAGTTCAGTCATTAGTATTTCAAGAGAAAAACAAACTCTCCAGAAATACTCTCTGCCGGTTACACAACATGTCAATGAAAGTTGTCATTGCACAGATGGCTTCCTTTCAAAAGGGAAAAGCCAGAGCCCATCTGCTTCCCTCCTTTATCACTCTTGCTCTCTGCTTGAGTTGGCTTCTTGATAGGCCTTGTTGGAAAGGTAACCATTCATCAGTCATAAAGACTAGAAGCATGATTTAGGAGTAGTGATTTCTGAAGGCGACATAATTCTTAATGGGTTGCTTACATGTTCAAGGATGGGGCAAGTTATTTTGAAGCAATCATTGAGATACAGGATAAAATTTCTCATTGCTAATTTGTATGCGGGTAACCACCAGAGTCTGATGTCATTTTCTGCCACTTTCCCTTTTCAAAAGTGGAATTGTACAAACCCTTTGAGCTTTCGATGAATGTTTTCAGATTTCTAAAAGTTCACAGACAGCACGAGGATATACCTTTTAGGGAGGGAAAGAGAAATGACATTTTCCTGATGTAAGTTTACAATTATGTAACTTTGAACAAGAAAGGTATTTCATTTTCTGTCTCTTCATGTTGAATCCTGAATTCGTTCTTCTATCTCAGATTGTTTGCCAGTCAGTCATAATCTGTGCTAGAATCCTGCGTTGTGAAATGCAGTCTGTATTCTGGGAATGGGCACAGTGGTTAAGTGAACTGATTGTAGCCATACAGAAAAGTCAAACCTGGATTTGAATCCTGGCTTTATCAGTTAGCAGCCATGAAACTTTTGGCCAGTAACTCTTTGTTTCCTCATCTGTAGAATAAGAAAAATGTCTTCTTCCATTGAATGTAAGGATTCAATGATAGGATTTATGCAGAACATCTGGTTTGTCACCTGACGTGTGGTTGGTGCTAATTATATGAATTTTTTCTTCATTTGTTGTTGGCAACCATTTCTGAAATTCCCACATTCACTCAGTTTAAATCTCTGTTGAATTTCCATTTTTTCCCATCTGTGAGACGGGGATCCCACCCACAGCTGTGCTGTTGTGAGGACTGAATGAGAGCAGATATCTTTTCTCTTTCTTTCACAGCTGCAGGCAAGTCATACCAGCCTACAAGCCAGATACGATGAAACAAAGCAAACGCTGACAGAGGTGAGGAGATTTTCAGAACCGCTTTTGACCTGCACCACTAATGGAATGCCCTGTATCGTCAGTCTGTGTGGGGTCTCAGGGCTCGGGGCCATCTCGGGACAGAGGACAAGCACATGGTAGTGCATGACCCCTGCCCTCAGGTTACCCATGCTGCCACGTTCTAAAGCCTCAGCCATCTTGGCAGGAGACATTGCCGTGGGCCCTGAGGATCGAGAAGGGCTTCCTGCCGGAGGCCAGGCTGACGGGCAGGGCACGGGCCTCACAGAACTTGAAGGGCCCCTCACGGTAAGTGGCCCCCACTCTGCTACAACCTCCACAAGCCGCAGGCTGTAGAATAGCTTCGAAATCCTGAATTCCTAAAGACTGAGAGGGTTTCTTTTGATAAGATGAGAGAACTGCAGAGGGCTGTAATTCGTTGTTCAGAATTGCCGGTTTTCTTCTAGGCAGGATGCGGGACAGGGTCTCAGGAGGAGGGGTAGGGCGATGGGTATATTTCAAACCACATGATCTGGGTTTCGAGTGTGCCATCTCCCATCAGCCATAGTGTTGTTTACCTCCCACTTCTCATTGCCTAGGCAACCGGGCCAGGAAAACAAACGCTTCTGATGCCCGCTCTGTCATGAGGGGAGTTTCGATATCTCTGTCCCTCACGTTTCCATAGAAAGATGTCCTCATCTGGATCTGATGGTCTCTCCTTGTTGTGATTTTGATTGTGCTCAAGCTCTAGCTGTACTCTACAAGGGCCACATGCAGGGGGCCCCACCTAGTACTTTCCGAACCATTTGGAAGCAGAACTGATCCTCAGAGACCTCTCTGAGACTAAGACAACCCCCCTCCCTTTTCTTTAAATTTCACATGAAATTTGCCCACTTAAAATTCTTGTTTCTGTAGCCATATGTGGCACTGCCTTGCTGTCATGCTGACAAAACTTTGTAATTCTGACCTGGGCTCGTCTCTTCAGTGATTGTTGGAATGTATGAAAAGGGCAGGCCAAAGAATGAGAGTTAGAATGAATTTTTTTTTTCATTCTTTCCAAAGATGCCTGTGTTGCATTTGGACAGATGAGCTCTCTTTACGCTGCTCAGTGACTGCATTCCTATGGGCTGGATGGCAGACTCCTGGGGTGGAACCCTGCCACTATCTAAATGTTAATGACACAGAGTCCCTGGCATGAAGTTTGCCAAGTCATGGATCAGTTTTTGTATAACCATCTGGGCGAGATTAAAGGCAAAGCATCTTGATATAAATCCTAAGTGGCTCTGAAGTCGTTTTCTTTGTACTAAATCGGGTATTTGTTGAGCGACTTTCATGTGCTAGAAGGGTAGGGAGTGTGATTTAAGTCAATAATAGAGGGTGGTCTTCTTATCCTCAGAATAACAGCCAACATCAGTGTGTGCTGGGTGTGCTCTGGGCACCTCCCTTGTACTAGTCCCCTGACTCTCCGTGACCACGCTAGCAATGCTGTTACCATCCCTGTTCTGCAGATGGGGCATTGAAGCCGTGCAGAGGCTTCCAGAACTCCAGCACTGTCTGTGTGGCCCCAAAGACCTCTCTGAGGGCTCACTCTGTATAGTAGGGCAGTCACACTAAGTCCCATCTAGGAAAATGGGATCTGTACCAAACCTGGCACTCAGCAACTTCTGAAGAAGCCTGACTGGTCAGAATACTGAAGACCAGACCCCTGAATAAGTAATGAACTTCATTACTTATAAGGTCTCAGCCTCCTTATCTGTTCCATTCAAGGATTGGCCAACACAAGCACTCTGACCCCTTTACCCTCCATGTGCCCTGGTTTCACCTTCTCAGTGACACCTGCCCTCCCAGGGTAACCTGGCAGCCCCAAAAAACAGGGAAGACCTGTCTTTCTGGCAGATTGGGTAAAGTCGAGCAGGGCAGGGAAGGTCAAGGACAGGTGGCAGCATGTGACACCCATGGGGAGGCTGCACACCCCTGCAGCGGTGGGCCGCCCACATCTAGCCTGTCCACTTTTTAATTTCGGCAGTCAGGACTTTAATTTCCTGTGTGTGAGGTTGATTCTTTGTAGCATATGCAGTATTCTCTCCCATTTCTCTAAGGGCATTAATTGTGTCTAAGGTTTTTCTTGATCTATAAATTTTCTTCTGATCAAAATTCATTTGTTCTATCTTTCTCATTTGTGGTTTTATCTTCCTTCACATGTTTGATAGTTCTTGGTGGTATGCTTATCTTTGATTCTGAAACTTCCCGTTATCAGCTGTGTGGATTCTGTCCCCATTGTCTGCAGCCTGCTTCGTGTGATTATTCTGGAAGGGTGGGTTCTACTGTTGGGTGAGAGCAGCCAGTAGTAAGTGGTATTTGGCACCTGGGCACTCTGCCTTTCACCTGGGTCTTGCCGATTCTGGGAGCCTGCCTGCCTCTGGGACTTGAGCTCCAGCTCAAGGTTAGGGGAGCCAGGCTTCACTGCTTAGCCCAGCTGGCCCTCCCACTGTGATCCCAGCCCTGCAGACCATCCTTCCTGTGTCTGCTGATCCCACATCACAGGCCTCCTCAGCCCTGCCTCTCTGTTGGCCATCTTCTTGGCCCTGAGATACCTGCTCCCGTAGTTGAGCCTAATTGGGTTTTTTAGGACTTGAGGCAAGAAGGGCTGATTGCAACTTGTACTCTTCTGTTTTCAGCTAGTACCCTTGGAACCTTTTTTAACTTGTTTTTTGGTTTTTTGGGGTTTTTTTTGAGTAGGTAACAATTCACACAGTTCAAAATTCAAAAAGTACAAAGATTGTACCGCTGTAACCCAACCATATAGTTACCCGAGGGTAACTAGTCTCTTATGAATCTTTTCAGAAATATTTCATGCATATACAAGTAACATGTATATCCTTTTATACATGTATACATTCAGGGTATGCATTCCCTTTTACACACTGGAAAGACATGGCATTGATTTTTTTTTTTTTTTTT